AGGCGGCGGGCGGGGGCGCCGGTGTGAGCGCGGGTGTGAGCGTGCGAGCGTGTGTGTGTGTCCGCGGCGCTGCGGCGGGCCCGGCGTGCGCTCGCGCGGCCCTGTGTGTGCCCGGCGCCGGCGTGTGCGGCGCTCTGCTTGTGTGGCCATCCGGGTGTGTGCCGGGTGTCGAGCCGAGGTGCTGTGTCCGGCCATGCGTGTGTGTCCCCCCGAGCGGCTGCCCCTCCGGCTGTGTGTCTAGGGGGCTGTCGCGCGCCCATCGGAGGGGTTGCGTGCAGGTGTGTGTGCGTGGGTTGTGTGCCCAGGTGTGGGTCCCCCCCCAGCGAGTGTGTGCGCGCGACTGGCTGCGTTGGGTGTTTGTGTCCGGGTTGGATGTCCATCCGAGGGTCTGTGTAGCCGGGCGTGCCCGCTCGAGTGTCCATTGTGTGTGTGTGTGTGTGTGTGTATGTGTGTGTGTGTGTGTGTGCGCGCGCGCACGCGCGCGGGTTGTGTGTCTCCGAGGGTGTGTGTCTGTGCGTCCATGTCAGGTTACCAGCCGGGGGCTGGGGCTCAGTACCTTGTGTGGCCAGGCCTCTGTGTGGGTTTGGGGGAAAGGAGTTTGCTGCTCCCTCGGTCCATGTCAGCTGGGGGGGTCCTTGGCGGTCCTTGGGGGAGACGGCCATGTCTTCCCCTTCCTGGTGGCTGGGTGGGGGGGGATGGGCAGCCGGTAGGTGGACAGATGGAGGGATGAGAGGCCGAGGGATGGACAGATGGGCCCGAGGGAAGGGACGCAGACATGGCCCTTCGGGCCCTTCCCCACCCACCCCACCCCAATCCCCCACTGGCCAGATCTCTGCAGATGGGGCCGGAGTTGCCTGCATCCAGATGGCCAGGCTGGGGGACCTTTGGGTTGCTGGTGAGAGGACCGGTGCTCTAGGACTCAAGCCCCCAAGCTTCTGAGATTCGACCTGCTGAACTCTGACCTGGCTGGGGAAGGGGCTGAGTTGGGAGGAAGGGAGGGATGTTAGGATTTCTTTGGCCTGGGAAGTAGGTGGGGCGGGGGTGCCTCAGGGCTGGGAGGGATGTGTATCCATGACTGTATGTGAGTGTGATTCTGTCCCTGTCTGTTGACTGTGCCACTGTGGTTCAATATTTTGTGTGTATTTGTAAATGTGTAAATCCCTTACAGGGCTGTTGTGTGAGCATGTGTCTGCTATGAGTGAACATCTCTGAGTGTCTGTGCAAAGGTAGGTCTTTTTGTACCTGTGTATCTGAGTGTGTATCAGCCTTGTAAATGTCTGTGCACATTGTGGTTCTGTGTATGTGTGTGAGTGTGTATCCGCTAGTGTGTACATTTGTACATCTGTTGGTGTAGGAATGTATCAGCTTTGTGACCATGCATCATGGGGATATGTGAAGTTGTGTGAGTGTGTTGGGCATTTAAGAGCATGCACCTGTATATCTTTGTGCGAGTGAGTATCTGTTATGTGTGTGTGCCTGTGTGTATTGGTGAATGTGCAAGAGTAGATGTGTTATAGGTGCATGCACCTGGTTGTCTGCAAGGGGGCACATGGGTTTCGCTGTTGTGTGTATGTGTGTGAGTGTGCAAGGGAAAAGGCAGTGTTGTATGTGTGGTTGTGTGCAGGTGTGTCAACCTTGAGAGTATGTGTCTGTGTTGTGAGTTCATTTCTGCATCAGTGTTGGTCTTTGGGGAGTGGTGTTGTGTAAGTTCAAATATATGTGGGCAGGGTGATTTGCACACATATGCCTGTGTCCCTGGTGCAAGGCTGACCCCACTTCTAGGCCCAGTGAGATGGGGGCCTATGTGGTGTGACCTGTGGTATACTGGGGTTCTATAGACACAAGTGTGTCCACATCCTGGGTCAAGAGCTCATGGAGGGGCAGGGCATACAGATCATACCGCTGTGTCCATGGAAATCCAGATATGGAGTCGTAGGCTGTGGGCCCATGTGGGTTTTGGCATGTCCACACATGTGGGTTTGACAGTGGTGTGATGGTGAAGATGGGAACCTCTGGTCCTCCTCCAGCTCTTGGTACTGTTCAGGTCTTTGAAGTTGGCGGTCTGGGATGTGGATTCTGGAAGGAGGAGGCTGGGAGCCAAGAATCCTGGGTTTGAAGGAGAAGGCTGGGGGGCTGGATTCCTGGTTCTTGAGAGAGGAAGGAACTGAGAAGTGGAATCCTGAGTCTGAGGGAGGAGGAGGGTGAGGTTCTTGGCTTCTTAAACCCCCAGAGGACAAAGGACTAAAGTTCTGGACTCTTGGGTTTTGGAGGGTGAACCATCTTGAGGCCCAGACACCTCCGTTTCCAGAGGTGACTTCCTGGGTCCACCTGAGACTATGCAGAACCTGAAGCAGCAGGGTTGAGAGAGTGATCACACCAGGGACTTACTTGGCTGAGATGGTCTCTGAGGCAGGTCTCTAGAGAGGAGCCAGAAGGATGCTAACAGTGTGGTTTTGTTCCTTTGCAGGTTCTGGCCCAGGCCCTGACTCCCTGAAGAGAGGTGAGTGGGGCCCCTCAGGCTGGGGAGAGGGATGTGGAGTGACTGGGCTTGTTCTGAGCCTGCCGGAGGCCTGGAGCCCTGTCTTACATGGATTTCAGTGGAGGGTATGGCAGTGTCCTGAGGGGCCAGGTGCCCCCCAGGCTGGGGGGTTGGTGACAAGGTCAGGAGCATCATGTCTGAGGAAGGGTTCATGAAGCCTGGGCATGGGTGGTAGGTTGGGGTCTCAGCCCTCAAGGAACCCCCTTTCGGGCTGGTAAGGTGGTTGGGAAAGGGAAGTTTCCTTCTATCAGTAAAGATGTAAGATAGTTTCCTGACATGAAGTGACTCTGTATCTGGAGAGTGGCATGGATGTGGTTTACCATTTTGGGTGTGTATGTGTGTGGGAAAATTTCCTGATAGTCGGACCTGCTAATGGCTGAGAGAGAGCCAGAAAAAATGATAATTTAATGCTAATAGCAGCTAACATTTATGCAGTGTTTACTCTGTCAGCATTACTCTAAACATGTCCCTGTATTATCTCATTTAATGCTCACAGTACCCCCATGAGGTAGGTGTTATCATCCCCATTTCACAGATGAACACACTGAGGCACAAAGAGAGGAAGTTACCTGACTGAAGTCATGCAGCAGGGAAGTGGGGTGTGAACCTGAGCAGTGGGGTCCAGATTCTGTCCCACAATATATTTTCACTGTTATTGTTACTATTTCAACTTGAGTCTCACCCCAGCTGTGGGAGGCGGGGCTCTGGACTTCCTGTTTCATAGATCACAGTCTGGAGACCCTACAGCCAAGCAGGTGCAGAGCTGGGCCTCCTAACTCAGGAGCGTCACTTCCCAGGCCAGGGTTTTCTGTCCCAGATAGACCAGTGCCCCAGAGGGAGTGCAAGACAAGTGAGCTAGGGGCCTCAGAGATGGTGGGATGCCCTGACCCTGCCTCTTTTTCTCTCTTCAAGACCCATCACTGTCTCCATTCAATCTCTCTCTCTCTTTCTTCCTCTGTCTTTGTCTGTCTCTAGCACACATATTCTCTCTTCCTATCTCTCCCCCTCTCCAACTGTCTCCATCTCTCTTTTCTGTGTGTCTCCTCCACTCAGTTTTTCTGTCTCTCTTTTTTGCTCCCTATCTCTTCCTCTTTCTTTCAGATTCTTTCTTTTTGTCTGTCTCTCTCTGAATCTGTATGTGTTTCTGCCGGTCTATCTCTCCCTCCCTGTCTCTTCACCTCTCTCCAACTCTCTCTTTAAAAAAAGTTTTTCTTTGGTGGTGCTGGGGATTGAACCCAGAACCTCGTGCATGCTAAGCATGCACTTTACCACTAAGCTATACCCACCCACTTCTCTCTGACTCTCTTGGTCCCTCCTTCTGTGTCCACAGTCCCCCTTCCCATGGGCTGAAGGATCAGGGCCACATCAGGCCACAGCGCTAAACTGCAGATTCCTGGGAGGTGGGCCAGCAGGGACTGGGGCGTGGGGTGGGGTGAAAACAGTTTCAGGGACGCCCCCTTCCCATCCTTTCCTCTTCACCCCCCACCCACCCCGTGTTGTGATGTGAGCTGACACGTCGTGGGCTGCAGCTGCTGCAGGGGGAATCCCTGCCGGAAGGTTTTGCCTAGAGCAGAGGCATAGCTTGAGTGTGTGTGTGTGTGTGTGTGTGTGTGTATGTGTGTGTGTAGGCATATATGGGGCCTTGTGTGTGCCCATTAATCTGAACACAAAATTCTGCCCCCTGCTTGAGAGCTCAGCAGAGCCCAGGATGAAACCAGGCTCAGAGAAGGACTTCCCAAGACTGAGCAGGGAGACTGATGTGTTTTCCTCAGCCCCTCCCACCCTCAGACCCCCTCTGCCACTGCCAAAGGTGGAGGGGTGTTACCCTTAACATTTATTGAATGCTTACTGTGTGCTAGGCCCTATGCTCAGTGACCCCCATGAATGAGTTCACTGAACCCTTGCAACAACCCAATGAAGATGGTACAATTATCATACCATTTTAAAAATCAGGAAATTATGGCCTAGTTAGGGGAAATCATTGGTTTGAGGTCACAGAGCTAGCAAGTTGGGGGAGGCAGGACTTGAACCTGAGTCTGTTTGATTTCAAAGCCCTTGTTCTTAATAATAGTGCACATTTCTATGCCTGTCATATGTCGGACACTCGATGATGATGATAATAATTACATACTAACATGTATTGAACACATTGTATGTGCCAGGCACTGTTCTGAGTACACCATGCCCATTCATCCATTTCATCCCCACAGAAGTAAGGCCTGTTTTTATCTCCATTTTACAGATGAAGAAACCGAGATTCAGAGAGGTTCAGACACTTGCCCGAGGTCACACAGCTAGTAAGTGTCAGAGCTGGAATTTGAACCCAGGTGGTATGGCTTTGAAATCCATGACTTTAAACCCTTGTCAGCAGTGACTTTTCAGAATATTTAGTGGGTCCTAAAAGGCCCAGGCTGGGCCAGATGTCATCCCTCTGGTTGGGAGACTATGAGAGGTCTGGGAGCTCCCAGAGGGGCAGGGTGGGGGCAGGACCCTCAGAGGTGGGGCAGTGGTAATTTACCAACCAGCATGGAAATGCTGTCATCTATTAACCAGTGCATGTTAGCTGATGATCAAGCTTGTCACTGTTCCACAGGACCTGGTTGTCAGGAAGGGTGGGATCTGGGTCAGACTCCTAGCAGGACATCCCAGGGTGACCAGGCTGGTGGGAAAGCCTTCTGCCTGGATAACTAATCTTCCCTTGCAGATCTCACCTCCCACTCCTCCTGCCTTCCGCCTGCACCATGGCTCCAGGCCCCTTCTCCTCGGCGCTTTTCTCGCTGCCGCCTGCTGCCCTGCCCTTTCTGCTGCTCCTCTGGGCGGGGGCATCTCGAGGCCAGCCCTGCCCGGGCCGCTGCATCTGCCAGAACGTGGCGCCCACGCTGACCATGCTGTGCGCCAAGACTGGCCTGCTCTTTGTGCCTCCTGCTATCGACCGGCGCGTGGTGGAGCTGCGGCTCACTGACAACTTCATCGCCGCCGTCCGCCGCCGAGACTTCGCCAACATGACCAGCCTGGTGCACCTCACCCTCTCCCGAAACACCATCGGCCAAGTGGCGGCCGGCGCCTTTGCGGACCTCCGCGCCCTCCGCGCCCTGCACCTAGACAGCAACCGCCTGGCGGAGGTCCGAGGCGACCAGCTCCGCGGCTTGGGCAACCTCCGCCACCTGATCCTCGGCAACAACCAGATCCGCCGGGTGGAGTCGGCCGCCTTCGACGCCTTCCTGTCCACCGTGGAGGATCTGGATCTGTCTTACAACAATCTGGAGGCCCTACCGTGGGAGGCGGTAGGCCAGATGGTGAACCTGAACACGCTCACGCTGGACCACAACCTCATCGACCACATAGCCGAAGGCACCTTTGTGCAGCTTCACAAACTGGTTCGCCTGGACATGACCTCCAACCGTCTGCATAAACTGCCCCCCGACGGGCTCTTCCTGAGGTCCCAAGGTCCCGGGCCAAAGCCGCCCACGCCCCTCACGGTCAGCTTCGGCGGCAACCCCTTGCATTGCAACTGCGAGCTGCTCTGGCTGCGGCGGTTGACAAGAGAGGACGACCTGGAGACATGCGCCACTCCTGAGCACCTCACCGACCGCTACTTCTGGTCCATCCCCGAGGAGGAATTTCTGTGTGAACCTCCGTTAATCACACGGCAGGCAGGTGGCCGGGCCCTGGTGGTGGAGGGCCAGGCGGTCAGCCTGCGGTGCCGCGCTGTAGGTGACCCCGAGCCAGTGGTGCACTGGGTGGCACCTGATGGGCGGTTGCTGGGGAACTCGAGCCGGACCCGGGTCCGGGGGGATGGGACGCTGGATGTAACCATCACCACTTTGCGGGACAGTGGCACCTTCACTTGCATCGCCTCCAATGCCGCCGGGGAAGCCACGGCACCGGTAGAGGTGTGCGTGGTGCCGCTGCCTCTGATGGCGCCCCCACCTGCCGCCCCGCCACCTCTCACTGAGCCTGGTTCCTCAGACATCGCCACACCCGGCCGACCTGGTGCCAACGAATCGGCGGCTGAGCGCCGGCTAGTGGCGGCGGAGCTCACCTCCAACTCTGTGCTCATCCGCTGGCCAGCCCAGAGGCCTGTGCCAGGCATCCGCATGTACCAGGTCCAGTACAACAGCTCTGCAGATGACTCCCTTGTCTACAGGTGGGTGTTGCAGCCTCAGGACCTCCCCTCAACCCCAGGGGCCCTCCCTCCCATCTGCCCACTTCCTAGGTCTTGCTCAGCTGAGGTTCTAGGTGGGCACACAGAGTTGTCTCCAGCTCTCATTTGCCCTATCTCCTACTTCTGTCTGTCTTTGTTTTTCATGCAGTTTGCAAATCTTCGCTGAGCACCCACACAAGCCAGACCAGGGCTGGGCACTGGACTTACAGCAGTGAATGCGCACAGCACGATCCCTGTTCTCATGGGGCTCACTGTCTGCATCCTTGCTCGCCAAAGGGGTTTGCTTGTGTGCCTTGTCAGCTGAACATTCTGGAGCATGAAATATACTCACACACATATATATTTATAGTTACATTTATATTTCGAAATTATATACTAGTGCTACTTACTGTACCATCACGTTGGGTACATTATAGAAATAGAAAAGTATGAGAAAAGTACATAAATCTAAGTTATTTCCACCATCCATTGGGTTAGAAGTCATTGGATGATGTAGACAGACATTAAAGAGTTACTTTCTCCCATCACCTCTGTTATTCTCTTGCTTTCAGCTCTGTCTCTGTCTTTCTGTCTGTACCTTCTCTCCCAACTGCTCTCATGAGGCACTAAGCCCCTGCTCTGTGCTAAGCCCTGAGCTGGGTGCTGGAGGCACAGAGAGACGCAGAGACCAGACCCTGCCCTCAGGGAGCTCAGAGCCCAGACTGCGGAGGCAGGTAGAACACGATGAAGTACTGCCTTGGCCTTGCAGTGTTGCTCTGTCTTGGTAGTTTTTGAGTTTTTGGCACAGTGGGCCGTTGATAGGTGTTTGTGGGCTCTGTGGAAGTCTCTCCTTCTTCCTGGCTCTGCTTCCCTTGTTCACATGGTAGAGTGCCTGCTGAATGCTTAATCCTGTTTGACTCTACCTGAGAGTGTCTGAGGGGGTGGAGCCATTTCCCCACAGTGGGGAGCCCTAGCTCTTGGGGATGATCAGACCTCCACCAAGAAGCCTGCCTCTTGGCCTTCATCTTCGCCTTGCCCAGTGTTCTCTTTGCCATGGTCCTGCCACACTGTAGGCACTTTCCTACTGTGGGTTGAATGAGTGAGTGCCTCTTTTCTCTTGTCTCTGTCATCTTCATTTTCTTCTCTTTTCCAGTCTGGTCACCAAACACTGAAGAAGTGTCCACTGCATGCCAGCTGTCATGCTGGGCCCTGGGCCTACCGAGATAGATCAGACACTGCCCGGTCCTACAGACATTAGGGCAAACAAATGAACAAAACCTTTTATAAGGTACTATCAAGGATGCTACTGCATTCAATCTTCCCAACTGTGCTGTGAAGCAGCGATGATCCTCCCGCTTTCATTTTAAAGACAGGGAAACTGAGGTTCACTGGGGGAAGTCACTACCTCAAGGTCACACAGAAAGAGGCAGAGCCAGATTCCAGCCCTTACCCTTCTAATCCCTAATCTGCCCTTTTTATGTTGAACACTCATTTATCAAGCACCTCTTGTTTGCCAGACAGGGGTTCGGGGAGATGGATAATACATTCCTGTAAATAGCTCTTGGTTTCTGTGATTCTCCACTTCTCTGTTTCTCTTTTTCCTTCTCTCTCTAGCCCATGGTCACTACATGGTGGGGTTGAGGGAGGTTCACGGGCCCCCTGGACCATGCACGTATGCAGATGTTGATGGCCTTCTGTCCCCAGCTGGGCAACAGACCCTGGGACTCTTTCCTTCCCTGTAGGGCCACAGTTCCAGTCCTCCGTCCCTCACTGCAGATTTCTGTGCTGCGGCACTGTGGGGGTTAACTTCCTCACCGCTGCCATGGGCGGAGGTGACATCCAACCAGAAGCCTGCTCTGCTGCTTGCTTGGGTTTTGCAGCCAATTAGAGACACGGGGGCTCAAGCTTTCTTAAGGAGCCAGCCTCTGTCCTTGAAAGGGGGGGAGTCCCTAGCAACTGGTTATTTGTGAGGAAGGAGCAAGAGGAATGCAAGGCTCTTTGAGAGGGGAGATGAGAGGAAGAGGAAGACTTACAACCAGAGGCCCAAGGTTGGATGGGGCAGGGGCAGTGACCTGTGAAATGGCAGGCAGGGGGCAGGGGGAGCTGTGGAGAGGTGGGTGGGCCTTTATGACAGTGTGGGGCCCTCTCAGTCTTTTGGTGGGAGGGTGGCTCTGGGTGGTAGGGGAGCCTTCTGGAGGTGGGGGAACTGAGGTGGGCTTCAGGATCAGAAGGTGGCCTGGCTGGAAGGAAGGTGATGCTTCTGAGAGGTAAGAGGCCTGTGGAGATGGGGGTGTGGCCTTTCAGAGGAGGTGGCGCTTCTGCTGCCTGTTCCCCACACAGATGAGGAGGTGGTTCCTGTCTCTGGTGACCCACTAAAGAGATTTGTAGGAGAGGAGAGCTTTGTAGGAGAGGAGAGCTTGTGAGGTTGAGTGCATGCAAGTCCATGTGGCTGTGGCAGTCCCAGCTTAGCCGAGGCTGGACATGGAAGGGATGTGCCTAACAGAAGAGGGGCAAGGCCTCATGGGAGCGGTCTTATAGATGGGGAGGAGCGCAACTGGCGGTAGACTGTGAGCCACACAGCAAGGGTTGCTGGCCAGCATCAGGTGGGATGCAAGCTAATAATGAAATTATTAAGTACCAGGCTTTGGGGATGTTAATTCATTCATACTTCACACCATCTCTATGGTATAGGAATTCTTAATACCCCCACTTGGGGAGATGAGATACAGAGAGGTTAAGAAACTTGCTTGAGGTCACAGAGCTAGCAAGTGACAGAGGAGAAACTCAAACCCTGGTATTGTGGCTCTCAGATTTTAGCAGTTTAATTAACCACTTCTTTACACTGCTGCTCATTAGAGGGCAGGGACCCACAGCAAGACAGAAGCATGCTTTCTCGGCTACAGTTGCCCCAATTATGGCTGACTCTTACCTGGGGACGTGACTTATTGACTTCAGGCAGTATAGGGCAGGGTGTGCACATAGAGTGGTTGCCTCTGATACCTGGATAGGGAGCAGGACATGCAAAGATGGGGCATGGTCTTAGACACGGTAGGGGAACCATCTCCAGTGGGCTATTGTGGGGTGTGGCTTGGAAGGCACCTGTTAATCAGAAGGGAAGTGGCCTTTAGCCTTGGACACTTAGCGGCCGGGAATACGTAGCTGTGAGGCTTGGAAATTGTCCCAGAAGATAGATGGAGCTGGAAGATGTGTACACCTAAAGGTGGACTATGCAGATGAGGGGGAGTGGTCTGTATCATGGTTTCCCTGAAAGGGCAGGAATATGTAGAAGAGAGGAACTAGAAGAGCATCCATTGGTCCAGTAGGGTAAGACGGGGGGTGTGAGTTGGCCTCAGTGTCCACTTGAGTGGGAGTGGGGCAGGCAGGTAAGGGGGCATGGCCTTAGCAATGGTCCTGTGAGGGTAGGAATTTGTAGCTTGAATGGCTGCTGTTGTCCCAGTAGAGGGTGAAACACTGGAAGGGGTGCATGGTTTGGTGCCCACAGGTGGGACATGCAAGTGAAGCAGCGTGGTTCAGAGTGGAGCTAACCCCTCACTGATCCTGCCCCCCTCCCACAGGATGATCCCATCCACCAGCCAGACCTTCCTGGTGAATGATCTAGCAGCTGGTCGCGCCTATGACCTGTGCGTGCTGGCCGTTTACGACGATGGGGCCACGGCGCTGCCGGCCACTCGAGTGGTGGGCTGCGTGCAGTTTACCACCGCTGGGGATCCGGCGCCCTGCCGCCCACTGAGGGCCCATTTCTTGGGCGGCACCATGATCATCGCCATTGGGGGCGTCATCGTCGCCTCTGTCCTCGTTTTCATCGTTCTGCTCATGATCCGCTACAAGGTCTACGGCGATGGGGATAGCCGCCGAGTCAAGGGCACCAGCAGGTCGCCTCCGCGGGTCAGCCATGTGTGCTCGCAGACCAACGGTGCAGGCGCGCCGCAGGCCCCGCCCCCGCAAGACCGCTACGAGGCGCTGCGTGAGGTGGCGTCTCCAGCTACTGGGGCCGTGGCTGTCGAGGCGAAGGCCACGGCAGCCGAGATGGCTTCCGAGGAGCCGGAGGCGCTCCTTGGACGCTCCTTGGGCGGTTCAGCCACCTCGCTGTGCCTGCTGCCATCCGAGGAAACCTCCGCGGAGGAGTCCCTGGCCGCCTCAGGCCCTCGGAGGAGCCGTTCCGGGGCCCTGGGACCGCCGGCTGCGGCCCCCCCAACTTTAGCTCTGGTTCCTGGGGGAGCCCCGGCTCGGCCGAGGCCACAGCAGCGCTATTCGTTCGATGGGGACTACGGGGCGCTCTTCCAGAGCCACAGTTACCCGCGCCGCGCCCGGCGGACAAAGCGCCACCGGTCCACGCCGCACCTGGACGGGGCTGGAGGGGGCGCGGCCGGGGAGGACGGAGACCTGGGGCTGGGCTCCGCCAGGGCACGGCTGGCCTTTACCAGCACCGAGTGGATGCTGGAGAGTACCGTGTGAGCGGCAGGCGGGCGCCGGGAGGCCTGTGTGCCGCGGACAAGCGCCCAG